AACAAGTGAGTGAAAAATTTTCTAGTGAAATCGTGTCCGGTATAATAATATATATCGGAAATTACAAAGATATTTTATTTTAAATAGTTTTTAGATTGCTGGGGTAAACCGCAACGATTAATTTTATCGTAGACTAGGAAATAAATTCACCGAGATGAAAATTATTGTTAATTAAAATCCGCGTTAATTCAATGATTCACTCCTTCATATAAAATTTCACCGAATTTTTTCAGTAATATCTCTTTGACAACTTACTCATCCAATTTTTGAGTACTACTATTTTTCAGTACTATTTAATTAATTATTTTCTCGAGTTTATGCAGCAAGCACATTTTTAATCCATCTTTCATGTGTTCCAGACGAGATAGCTCAAATAATTTATCTTATATTTTTCCAATCAATACCCAGCATAAAAAGGGACTTAAGAGACATAAACAAATGAAATCCTCCCTTCCCCGCTCGATAATGCCCCTCTCTATATCTTCAATCAACCAAAATGTTGTCTTTTTTCTGCCCTCTCTCTTCTCTCTCTCTCCAGCATTAATTCCACATGGCAAACCGGCATGTACTCCCTATTGCCTATTCCCTAGTCGGTGGGTCTATAGACGAGGCTGAGAGACTCAATGCACGAGGGTTTCGATTCCCTTTTCACAAACGGGTATAAAAACCCTCGGGGTCATGTGTACAGTCAATGCTTGATTTGTCCTCGTTTATAAGGTGTTAACAAAAATACTGGGGAAAATTATTTTTCAAGTTTTGCCGTCGAATGAAAGGCAATTTTCGGCGCCATATTTCTATGAGGAAAGGGGAGAAACAATTAAAAATTTAGTGCTCCATTGAATAGAAAAATGTATAAAAAGTGAGGGGCACACAGAGTTACTGGTGACGGTACTGGAGCAACCCCCCGACCCTCCACTTCTACCCCTCACTCCACCGTTCCCCTCATCGATATATGGCACCACCCAACGGTGCGTTCTCCCCACCTCGAAAAGCCAAATCCTCCATGCGCATCGGCAACGGCGCGCGCAGTCGTCCTCAGTCTTCGCTGGGCCGTCATCGTGACCGCTTTGCGACTCGTTTTTTTTCCCCCCCGAAAAACGCGTCGTTCTCACCTTTTCCGCTTCCTCAATAGTTTAAAAAAAAACAAATCATCAACCACTCACCGTATTATTCACCCCTCAATGATTTTCCAACTGAAAAAAAAACTTGTTGAGACTGGAATACAGAGCAATAAGTCGAAATAAAGGAGGAATCGAGTGCTCGGCCAAGTCTTTACGCCTAAAGAAATTTTGGGAAATTTGTTATCAACCATTTCCAGTAGTCAAGTGAATTTATTTTGTGGATTTCTAGCTAGTGAATTCGACGAATGTTGTGTTTCCAGGCAATAGCGAGGCGTCCAATGGACGCTTTTAATACTCTCGGGAAAAAACCAACGCTAATGATTGTATGAAGTGATTATATGCCGTTGGAAAATAACGCACGATATTAGATTGATGGATTTTCTTTTCTTTTTTCTTTCTAAATGTTCGTTGATGTTATTCGTGATTCTGTGGTGATTTTGTGGGTGCGCGAGTGCTATCGACGGAAAATTGATTGAAGGTTCATTCTCGGGGTAGCACTGGGGTCACTGGCACCAGGGTGTTTCGGGATTATTGATTCATCTGTTGGATAATTAGTTTTGTGGATTGTATTTACGTTATCATTGGTGGATACGTCGCACGATATGGATTGGCCGTTCAAAGCGCGACGAACGTAAGTGGATTTATAATTTTTTTTTTGTGCGTTTTTCTTTCATCGAACGACATTTTTCCTACTCTTCAATTCTCCAGACAATGAGGAATCTAATATCTTTTTCGGGACTTTCCATGAATTTTTTGGCCCTGAAGAAAATTCAAAAATATTATCTTTCAGACTGTTTGGAGTTTACAATTATTGCAAATGTTTTCTTCTTAGACTATTGGAGTGCAGAGAGTTGCAATGCTTCGGGGTAAAAGGAAAAAATTTATTCGGAATTGAAGTAAAAATCGTTGTTTTAGGTAATTTGTTCATGTACTGGTGGTTCTGGGAATGTTAAAATTGAATTTTTGTGGCAATTTGTTGAAGATATTGAGAAGAAAGATGTGAACACATACACCAGCTGTCTGGCACTAGTGCCATCTGTAGCCGCCATTTGGCCAACATTTAGTCTGAAATTTTTCGCGACAAAGCGCGAGGGGAATATGATTATTTGTGAAAACTTGAATTATCTAGTTTTCTCGGGTAAAGAAAGAGATGAATGTGAGGTTTCCTGTGAACTTGAATCCAAGGTTATGGGGAGTGATTGACGCGCACGTTTACTTCGTTCGCGTGACGTTGATGGGAAAATAATCATAATCATAATTAGAAAGGAAAAAAAATTGAAAGAATTCTTTCATAAAATTCGTTAATTTCTATTTACATGCCATTTGTTGAAAATTTGCCGCGGAATTATTGTTTCGGCGGAAGGCAAAATTTTTCTCTTTAAAAAAAAAAGTCAGTAGTCCTTTCTACCTAGTGGAATTAAATCTTCCGTTTTTTCTCTTTTTGCTCTTCTTTGGGTGGAAAATTAAAAATCTCAAATGGACAGGAAATATCTCAGATGAGCATTCGATTACCATGTGCTCCTAAATTACACTTGAATCCAGATGAGATATAGCCATTGACAGAAAGAGCTTTGTGAAAAATTTTCCAAGAGTAGATGCCTCGAAGACGTAGGGATGACTAATATCAGCGTTTGAGTTTACAGAACTTCCTTTCCGCCTGCATTACATATTTATTCCTTTAGTCATTGCATTAATCATGGCATATATGGAAGGGGAATGCACATTCGCCTTACTGCAGCGATGACATTTACCAATTCCAGATGATAACGCAAATGACAGATGCCGAAAACCGCAGATAAAATATCATCCATCAGACTCAACATTGCTTTTTTTTTTTTTATTGTTCTTTCAATTCGTGCAGCGTATTTCATGGTAGAAATTTTTGTTATTGCTAACAGCATTTAGAGGACCACCTGTCTTTTCCCATAGTTGTGACAAACGTGTGAAATGTGAAAACGGGATAATCAGGTCGTACTATTTGTGAAATTTATTTATCCATCTGAATTTATTATACGTGTATGAAAAAATCATATCTCCTGTAAATTGCTAAATATCCTCAACCGGAAGTGAATGAAGGATACGGGAAATACCGGTGGTAAATTAAAAAAAACCCTCCCATGGCGATAACCACTTCAGTTATCCTGTTTGTTGGTTAGAGGTGGTGGAGGAGGAAAGGAATACAATTGGATATCGCGTTACTTCGGTTTCACACGTCTCTTACGTGTAATCAATACCCATGGAGTGATTGCAATTCGTTCATTTCACCCGTGAATCTTTTGTCATGGATAATACTATTTTGAAACATTTATTTCTCCAATGATGCAAAATTACTGTTTTTGTAGAATAAATCCCTATTCTTTGCAAAGAACCGGAAAAATATTCCATCGAATATTTCATCGATCCCCCTGAATAAGATATCATTCTCTTATTAGTCTGGAACACAATTGACAATAAGAATAATAGATGTAGAAAAAAAAATAGAGTGTGAAGGTTTCAGGTGAATGTGAGACACCTACGGTGGTCTACCTCGGTGTGTTTTATAGTGGCCATAATTATACGCGATATTACACAATTGGAGGAGGGTTATCGTTGCAATGAGGGGGGAAAAGGCCTCCCGTGGACTTGATCCACTATTCCAATGGATAAATTATGTCAAGTGAAAGCGAAAGTTGTGTTGGTTATTATCAACGCAATTCTTTCTTAATCGTCCAGAGTCCTCTTTTCATTGTCTTGGGAAAAATAATATGAATTTTAAGAAATTTTAAGAAATTTTTCTTTTATCACCGATTAATTATCTGAGTTAGGTAATTTTCAAAGTAAAATGATGGAGAGGAAAAAATTTGATATACGAAGGAATGCATTGATTTTTCTTTGATTTTCTGCCTGCCGAGCATTACTCAGCTCAGACTGGTCTTGAAGGGCCGTTGGCCTGAAAATTCCAGACAAAGTAGCCTCTCTCCCCGAGGCAGGATGTGTTGTGTTGGTTAGCAGCCTGTTGCCTCCTCACTCTCCTCCCTCGTTTTCTCCCACACGTCTTGCACGCACTCTGCGTACTGTACTCTTAATATTTTTCAATATGGACACCGACCAGTATACAAATCTTTTACACGATCTCTTCATCATAATCAACCTTTTCTCCCAATTCCTATCTACACAAACCATATTGAAAACCCTCTACATATTCAATCGCCAAATTTCTCCATTTTTCACCCGACATTTAGGTAATGACAGATGTTAAAGATCAATCAGTCGGATAATGTACTTCACAGCATAACGAGCATAAATTATTATTATAGCCAACTCTGAAAAACCTAATGTGTTGACTGTGAAGTTTAATATTCGATCCTCGTTAATCTTTAGTTTGGAAAGGCAAAATGAAAAGACACAGGCAAATTAGCCCGAACAGTTGACCTTCGCTTGCGGGGCCGTGTGGATTTTTAGTCTCTCTCTTCTTCACATTAAAAACTTCTCTTTTCGTATTTTACACGAGGCTCTAATCTCAAAATGGTTTCTAATGGGTGTGGGAGGGGAAAGTAAAACCACTACCTGCCACTATTCTCTTATTATTTCGTGTGGCCAAAATGTGCGAACAAAGGTTTGACCTTATTTATTTATTTTTCATTTCTTATTCCATACATTCAACTCGCCAAATACTTTCTAACTATCATGGCGCCCAAGAAATGTGTGGGAAAGAATTTGGGGGGCTGGGGTTATAAAAGTATTTTTGAATGGGTTTCGAGGTCAGGCGATTAGAAAAAAATGAGGTCAATGGCGATTTTTTATGCTTGAAGTCTTCATGTTAATTGAGATTAATATAAATTTTTGTCCGGTTATTGAATGCGAAACGAGTACTTACGTCTGTCTTGTTTTTTATTTCAGACTGGGCCGTTTCGTACCGACCAAAAATGAAGACACGAGGTATATAATTTCATATATCCTCTAATCCTATTTAAAGTCTTATTAAATATTGTTTTGACAATTTATTTTTATTGCTTGTGTTGTAATTACGTTATGACAAAGTGCTGATGTCCTGGAAAATTTTAAATTGTGTCTGGAAAGTTTTTGAGATAATGAGTGGAGTGAGCGAATTGATGTTGAGAGTTTATTCTCAGATGTGTATATACTGGAGATGTTAAATGATAGTCTGCGCATGCGTTCGTGGAATTTTCGTTTAACCTATCTTAGCCCAGTGGCATCATCGGTTAACAGCTGTTTTCATTCAACGATCACTCTTTCTTAGCTAGCAACTTCCTCTGCCATTGGATTTGATGATGATCACTGCGTGGACACGACTTTTAATAACTTTAATAACAATATTTTTGAGTGGGAGATTTTACATCCATTAATCGTACCAAATTGTTGGCGAATATCTTTCCAGTTGGATACTAAAATAGGATATTGAATGTAAATCACATCTACACGAGAATGTAATGCTAACTCACACCGACCAGTCACGTTTTCCACTGAAATGTGTCTCATGGTTAACGTGAAAATGTCACGTACGATATTATATGTATATCTAGAACTTATAGAACATTGCCTCAAGGAAAAACAATTAAAAAAAATTTTTTTTCTTTCTACTGCACATTCACCATTCCGAGAAAATTCTTTTTAAATGAAAATTGGTATTTTTTTCCCATCAATAAGGAGAAATATCATCCCATTGAGTTGCTATGGATATTCAATCGGGAAAATGTCTTGTCTCAGTGCCTTCAAAATTCAATACATTTCTAATAGTGCCAGCTGTTAGAACTGATGATGATTTGTGGTATATTGGTTTGACTAACGAGTCCTAATTGAGTCCTTTGGTCAATCAAAAGCGTTAGTGACACATGCGTCGAATGCTGACGATTGGACTTGCAGTTTAATCGCACTTCCTCTCATCTCAATTGTTTCTCCTAATGAACTTACCCCAAAAATCAACCATTAGTTCATTAACACCGTGGGGCTACCGTGGGGTTAATTTCCGTGTTAGGCTAATAATTTGCTGAAATATCCATTAAAGGAAAATTTGTCAGCAGTGAATTTAACGTCTTTCCCCGAATTTATTACTGACTGTTTTTTTAAACAGTCAGTTTTGATAAAAATTATTTCACGGGATTCCTAGGACAATTCCAGTTGGAAAACTCAATATATTATTGAAAATTTTACTAGACTTTGGTGGAGTCTCAGTGAAAATACTTTTTATGCAGGTGAATGAAATCTCAAGAAAAGCTTAAATTAAAAAAAAAAAAATGTCACATTTTTTATTTTTCGAGAATATTTGATTTTTTGTAAGACTTGGAATACATTACAAAATGTATATAAGACTTGTGTACAGAGAGAAGTACTGGCTTTAGCCCAGCTGGTGACCCATTTGTGAAATTTGCCGAGACTCCATGCGACTCACACAAACGAATAAAACACTAAAACTGAGGTGAAAAAATAAATGCACCGAGAGGGGGGAGCAGTGAACAAATGGACTTACAACACTTCATGAAATTACTTGCGAGGTTTCGAGTATGCTTTTATGTAGTCTTTATTCCTGTGGGCACTCGCCGACCACCAGCGTACGAAATCCTTAATGAAATTTAGTTGGTCCCCTTTTTTTTTTTTACTTTGGGGACAACTCTCTTTTACCCGGGGGCATGAGCAATCAATTTCAAATGCTTCACTATTTAATTCCTAATTTAATTCAGCAATTGTTCTCATTGAAATTCTATTTCTCTTTTTCGATTGATTATCATTGGAAACTGGTTGGAAAAAAATGTGAAAGCTTTTTTGTCCCGTCTCCATTCTTTCTTCTTCTAGATGAAAAGAAGACATACGTCCTCTTGGGAGCATTTGCCCGTTATGTAATGTGTACTCAACGTTTTTGCAACTATATGTGTGTGTGTCTTTGAGTCGAGATGTGGATCATATTTGAAGGCAGTTTTGGACTTTGAATTTAGTAGAAAATGGAGTCTCTGGAGTTACAGTGAAATTTAGGAAAATGTGTGATGAAGAAAAAACATCGGAATTTCCCTCGATTTGTTTATTCATTCTGGGGGGGGGGGATATTGTTTGTAGAATTTTTGATAAGAAAAAGCGTTATGTACTGTAGATAAACTGAACCAACGGGGCCTCTGACCGATACCGGTACTACGCTTCAAGACGACGGTGCACAAGGCCTCCTACTATATTCATTATTGTCGGGCCCTGCCCACTTACCACATGGATAGTGTGCACTTGGGAACACCAGGGACTTCTGCAAAAAATACACATATATGTCAAAGACAAAGACAATTCATTCCACGAAACAATTTAACGGAGCACAAAGAGTACCAAGTATGCGAAAAATTTTAACACCCATAGAAATTTGGGAGGAGGAGCTGAGATCGAAAATAACCTCATTTTTTTTTTCTCCGATATATATAATATCTTATTTATCACAAAAAAATGTTTTTTACTTCACGAGAATTTTCCATTTCAATTTCAAAGCGGATATATTCATTTTCGGAATTCTACCTTGCGACTTTTTCTTCTTAAACACTTGATGACGAGTTAAGTTCCCCGCATTCGTGGAAATTAAAATAAAATGAAGTATTTTAATCCATTCCGGAATTTTGTCCCACCCTCATCTTGATCGAGTGCTTTTCTTCTTGTTCTCGTCCACAACGTGATGCGGCAAAAGTTTCAGAGCAAGATTGAACTTCGCCCCCCTCCCCCCTGCCCTCCAGTCCTCCATTAAAGGGCTAAATCCCTCATTTTTATCATGACATTAAAAATAATTTTGCTTTATCATTTTTTTTATTCACTTTTTTTTATGAAAGTTTTGAGCTCGTCGAGACATTTATAGTGCCATAATTCATCGTTTCAGGATGGTGGGCAGGCATTCGAGTCCTGGACTGCCGAAGAAATTATAAAAAAAAGAGGGAAGAAGGAATGATGGGGGCACGGGATGCGGTAAAATTGTCGGCCATTGTCGAGACCCTGACGTAACCACTTGGTTTCAATCGTTGTTTCCTTCAGCATCTGACTCATCCCCAGTGTCGTTTCAGCTGTCCTCTGACGGTTGCTCAAAGTTTCATCCCTTCAAATAATCAAAAAAATGGAGAAAAGCCGAAGAGAGAAATTCCTTGGAGTTTATGGTTTCTCTCGAAATCTACAATTTGCATGTTGAATTGAATGTTTGTGCAGTGGTGGGGTAATAATGAAAGGAGGCGGTGGGTTGTTAAGACAGACAAGGTCACGGCTATCTCCGCTACCAACGTTCAATTCCAAGTCGGCCATTTTGAGACATAATGTAAAGCCCCAAGAGCTCAGCATCAATTCGTTGATTCGTTGATATAATATGATAATACGATACACTATCTCTGACGGAGTCTCTCATTTCTCTCTCTCTCTCTCTCTCTCTCTCTCTCTCTCTCTCTCACTCTCAGTCTTTCAGTCTCTGATTTTGTTTTTCTTGATCGGAAGAAACCTTAACCCGTACCAGTCTGTGACGCTCAATTAAATCACGTTTGTACAATTCTCTCTCGTTTAATTCCAACGGTTCATTACAGTGCCTCTTTACATAATGAAAATAAATGTGGAAATTGCCTTCCTCATTATTCCTTATCAAATGTTTTTGTTTTATATCTCATTTTAAGTGAGAGAAGCCCCCCGTTTCGTTCTGTCTCTCGTATCTATTATCATTCGTCTTTCATTCTTGTCTTTTATCTGAGGGATAAACGCATTGGGTTTAAGATTACCTAGACGAAACTGCCGAGAAAGAGAAAAAAATGCCAATGGAAAAAAAAATCAACAAAAAAGGGGGGAGTGTTACTTAGCATAATGAATAGTCACTAGTGTGTATTAAAAACGGAAAAAAACATGAAAAGCGAGGATGAAAAAAGGGAGATGGGGATCACCGGCTCGTTAACTCGTCCACGAGCGTAAAATGACAATGGACACGTGTACTAATGAGGGAAAGGTGTATTCGTCAGCTATTTAAATAATTTACAAATCCAAGGGGGCTGTTTTAAAGAGTTGATTTTTCTCAATTTTTATTTCGATGTTTCGCAAAAAGGCTTCGATTGTATTGAGTTTTCTATCTCATTATTCCTCGGTTATCAAACAGTATCATCAGTTTTTCAATTTAGTAAGTCTCAAGATTTTCTCGTTTGTTCTGATTTACTATTCTCTTCCGGCTCTCGTCTATAAGCTTCTCTTCCCTCTTATTCCTTATCTTTCACGTAAATGTGGCGCGGTTTTACGATTACCCAACGAAAATTTAAAACGTCTGGGAATACGATAAAACGACGATAGAGTGCAGAGAAATCCCGAAAGAGAATTTTTTTCCTTTCTTTTCCCCAGTTGCTCGTTTTGTTATCTCATCTCAAAATTGTTCTCTCCGTATACATTGGGTTGGAGGTGGGGATTCCATTGTACTCTGAGAATGTAAATTAAGATATCTAAAGGGAAGAGGATTAGGATCTTAACCGAAAAATGCACAAAAGTTTCCAGATTTCCGTTGAATTTTTCGATTTTTTAAGGATAGGAGCTTGTCTTGAGGGTTAAAAATTGTCAGGGATGTGCTCAAACGAGAATTTAACGTTTGGATAATCCCAAGGTGGGGCGAAATAGTCACCAGGGCGGTCTACCAGTGAAAACAATGGTGATTGTCTGGAAAACGTTTACAGCCTAATTATGTGAACACGGTCCTGGCCAATGGTGTAGTAACAATGCCATAACTCGTAACAATGTACGATTGTTCATTGTTCTGGACTGGAGCTTCTCTGATGCCCCTGTAGGACAGAAAAAATCAACAATCAATTTTTTATTCTTGTTCATTTCAACCTTTTTTTTCATTACTCCTCCAGTTATCACACATTTTAATAATAAAAAACATCCTAGTGAATATAAACTTTTACTTCTTAACAAACCATTCTAAAAATTATTGGAGAAAGTCCTATTTTTTAATATTTTTTTTTGCACACCACAATGCTTCCTATGCTATCGCCCAATCAATTGCAGGTTAATTCGCTTGGTTTTTAATGATTGCCCCTGAGATCGAAAGTTACGAAGGAAAGCCGGGAGAAGGGAAATGAGGGCGTTTAATCTCTCGATATGATATTTGACATTAGGTATTTATTCAATAGGTCAACGTACCCAAACACTTAACAATACTGTATGTGGCCTTCGTCGATGCCATTGAACGTTGAGAGTGCAGACAAATGGATTTTAATAGGCCACGGACTAGAGGACACTTCTTGGCTTACTCGAGTACATTTTCGAACATGTGTTTATCTAGTGAATGAGTAGGAGCAATATATAATTATCATGGAAATTCATGACTCAACGCAAGTGTTGAGTAGTTGGCGCGTCATCACTGACCTTTCAACATGGATTTTAACGTAAGGTGAATTACTAACAAGGAAAGGCGTTCAGGTGTATTTCACCCATTTTCTTCATTTTCTTGCCTTATTGCAAACAAAAAGTGGTTAGAGCCATGCTTGTTTTTTAATATTGAAAATTTGGAAGGGAACCTCTGGATGATGTCCTTCAAAACGACAAAGCGTAATGAGGCGAGGTTACACCAGCGATGAACTGAGAACGAGCATTACAAGGACAAAAACAACGGGGAACCTGTCCCCATGACGATTAGCCCACGCGCACCACCTCGTGCTTTCTGTTAACGTATCTCTTTTTTTTTTTTTTTTTACACTCTCAGATTTTTTTTCTCTGAATCGTCTGTACTGATATATGCAGGCGATTCAGACAGAGAGAGAGAGAGAGAAAATAAAAAAATCTTACGATTGTGGACACACACGTAAGCGGAATATAAAAGTATGTGGAACTGTGTGACACACACATTAGAGTAAACATTCATAGTTGAAGCCTTTCGTTTTTCCATCGATGGGATGCCAGGCCTTGAGAAAAATCATCTTACCTCGATTCACAATTTCATCATTGGGATCGAGCACACTGCAATGACTGTATAAATAGACTTTTCCGATAAAAATGTGTTTTTCATAGCTTGAGGTGGATTTACCCAAGGGCGATGAGTAAAGTTGGACGAAAAGACGGAATTGACCACTTTGACAGCTTGAGCTTATTTTCCAGCCCATCTCATGAAACTACCGACAATTGATGAATATAATGTTCTCCAACTGCAATGCAATCATGCAAAGGAGAATAAAGCGATCGAAGCCGTGACTTTCTCACGCTACCTGTTATAATTAAATAATTGCAATCATGGCTATGTAAGCAGCATTATTCTCGGAGATATGACGTGTTTATTGCCATTTCAATGGAAATCTTAATTAGAGTCAATCTGCAACGAATATGGATACGGAGATTAACATGAAGAAAATTCTGATTTTAATATCATTTACTGCGTTTTTCACTGCTTTTGCCTCTACATTTATAACTAGAACTACAGTACTCTACCATTTTGGTTGTTTATGTGTGAGAAAATGGAAAATAGTGTAATACCAATTCATTGTCATTTGAAATTAACGATTCACCAGTGACTCCACGAATTGTTGAAACTCCATTTGTTTGTATCAAATTACTTCCGTAGAAGATTTATTCTACGGGGATATTGCTATCACAAATTAACTTTACTACCAACGGGTAACTGGATTTATGGGAATTTAGCAGATTATGCATTATCTTCATGAGCAAATTTGTGTAATAGAGAAGGAGACAATGTCAGCCAATGGTGAAGGGAATTTCCGGTGGAAAACTATGACCATGCATCTATTTCCAGCCATTAGGTGAAAAGTTTCACTCAATCGATATTCCAAGGTGAACGATTGGGGTAGAAAGCGATCCCACGGGATAGTAGGGGGATTTTAACTGTGCCATTTAATATGAGAACTTTTATTTTTCAAAACTAGACTAGAAACATCCAAGTGAATGTGTGTCCCCCAAGCCGCCTGGAAAGAAAATTTTTATTTATAATTTTTTTAATTCTGTCTGACACATTTCGAAATACCACTGACGATCATTTCTAATCGATGAATCAATAAGGAATTGTCATATAATCGGTTAATTCACCAAATTGGCAAGCGGACTAGCGGCATTTTCATAAATTGCACAAAATAAATTGTGAGACTCAAATGAAATAATGATAGGATGATGATGTTTGACGTCTTGTCTAACTTTATTTCATCACTGTCACCATTTTACTCGTCTACGAATGGCACCTGGTCACGACCTTTACTGTCTCGATTATCTTGTCACGAGGTATCTCGTAATCCAATCGATCAATACAAATGGCGGCTTTATGGCATATCGAAATTGAATTGAAAATTGAAAATTTGAAACATTTTGTTAAAGTGACTTTTATCCAATTATTCTCACAGTTACTCGACTGACAATTTTTGGTGAATTTATATTGACCTTTAGCTGTGGAAACAGTTAAACCAGAATAATCACAACTGCCTTAGACAACCGATCGGGTGTTGATGGGAATTTTCAGATGATGCTTCAATGAATTCATCACCTCATTCAATTTCTTAATTTAAATGTCATTTTTTGAATTAATAACCTTTTAAATGTCTGCACGCATGTCCATGGCCTAGGGTATATAACTCCTTCCAGATTTCACGAGCAATACTCCTCTGTTCACTCTCAGTATGTGTTCACTCAAGTAACAGCTGACGAGGGGTCTTCCCCTTTTAAAGTTTTTTTTTATCCCCTACACACACCTGTTCACCAGCTGCCACGACAAAGGGGCCATTTTGCGTTGTGCAAAGGCCCATGGGAGTTCAGATAAGAAACCTTTGTCAGCAAAATTCACATCTCTCTTATTCTCTGCAATGGTTTTTTCCACCCTTCTTCCTCCAGCTACACCCCGTGGACAACTTTTTTTTTTAATTATTTCAAATCTTTGTTCTCCGTAGATGAAACAAGCAATCGCTCAATTATTTCGCTGCCGAAACTCAAGGAAAACTCATGTAAACTTCATCTCATATGTGACTTTTTGTTAGTCGAATTATTTTTTCATTTCTCAGGGCTAGAATTGTAATCTTTGGCAATCAGTGGCGAAATCCCCCCTGAAACAGTACAGTATTGCCCTGGTACTACCTGGATGCATGTCAAACGATAATCCGCGAAATTTCTGTGTGCACTCACCTTAAACTTTCTCACACACTCCTATACACTGCTAATTTGATCATAACCTCTTGTCGGCAATTGTCGGGCTTGTCTGCAGAAGATGTTTCTCTTTAATCGATTTCTCTCGCCCCTCGCTGTTGAACAAAAAAAAAAAAGAAATTGCCGGGAACAATGAAAAACATTTTTCAGGAGGAAATTTCAAATTCCCCAGTCCATCCTGTGAAATACGTTTCAATACTTTGCACTTTCGTTTATTTAGAAAAAAAATTTCGAAATTCCAGTTTCTGGTTTGACACTCGTCGACACGTTGAGAGTTGATGCATGCAATGCTGAAAAATTTCCCAGAGGATACGTACTATTTTTTTAGCGGGTGTGGCGAAGAGACAGAATGAAACGACGAGTCAGGGTGGATTTGGGTTGGTTGAATGTTGGGTGGGGTCGAAAGGGGAGAATCGGATCAATACTGGCTAGTCTCGCCACTCTGCAACTACTATTCGATGCTTCTGCCCGTCGTGCAAATTTTCATGAAAAATATTCAAAATCTAGGGCCCACTGTTAAAAAATTACACTTAAAATTTCATGGAAAAAAAATCGGAATTTTGAAGGATCCCAAAATTCTGCTTCCGGGCCCTTATGGAAACAATTTTTGTTTCACTGACGTTTCAAAATTTCATTTCTGCATTTGCCGAGTCTTTTACCCTACGCCGAACTCGAAAAAAAAACTCATCTGAATCTTGGTGCCATCAGAACTTCTGCTCATAGAGAGGAAGTGGCTTACGAGCCTTAGCAAAAATGAAAGTAACATGTGATTCTTCTCACTTCATTCCCCCCCCCCGAAAATCATCGACAGTCATTTTGTTTCTTGTCCGCCATTTGCTTTGGTTGCACGTTGTCCTTGATCTGGTTCAAGTGATATTGCTTTATCCTCGGAGATTTTTTGTGAGAGACACAGACATGGCGGGGAGGAAATTTTGCGCTGTTTACCGGTACAATTGCAGGTGAAAGATAGTCTAGGTTTCGGGGAAAGGAAAGACTAAAATGTTGAGAGAAAATACTCCTCTTTTATGTAAAAAAAAAGGGGGAGGAGCGGGGGGGGATCTTTTGGAGTATCTAGGTGCAGAATGCGTTTCGAGTAGATATGGCTGTCAAAAGACTTTCTTCCTCATTGAATAGAATTTCCAATAAGAAAAATGAAGAACAATTGTTCAAAGGAAACTTTTCATATTGCCTAATAATAGTTTGATGTTTATTTTTTACCAGGAATAAAGGGAATCGTTGTGTGAGCGGTAGTGGGAGCCGCGGTAGCGGTGCAACCGGTGCAACCGGGCCAACTGGTGCAACAGGGGGTGGCAACAACGTGCTTGGTAACGAGGCTAGTGTTATAGTTGGTCGTGGGGCCCTCTACGGGGGTGGTGGGGGCGGTGGAAGCCCCAGACGTGGAGGTGGTCAAGAGGGTGGTGGACAACCACCTATCAACGGTCTTTACAACGGTCATCATACCACGAGCACCAGACATCACAGGCACAAAGTATCCGCTGGCTGTGTTGAACTACGTCATCATCCACATCATCACCGACACCACCCCCACTATCGCTCCCACCATCGGGGCATGACCATGGGCCAAAAGATATCAGGTATTTACTACGAAGCCCTATTTTATGTTTCTTTCTTTTTCCTTTCATTCATTTATAAGAGTCATTTTCACTAATGAGAATTCACGTGAAATCCATGATGTATCAACTCCCTTTCATTTACTGAAAAACTTGAAATTCTCTATTTAGCGAGTGACGAACGACACAAAAGTGATCGGAAAAAAATAAAATAAAAATCGTCTGTCCCAATATGCAACCACCATGCATCCACATTTGCCTATTTACATTTCCTTATTTTTTCATTTTATCGAGAAAAATATATATAAAGGGGGAAAAAAGAGAGATGGAGCATTTTCCACGATAAATATTTAACGTGCTCACCTCTATCACTCTCATACCCAGACAACGGGCGGCAGTAGCACGACGGGAGCTATAAATAAAGGGAAATGAAAAGTGCGGGGAAAATTTTTGGCGGGGGAAATAAAATATAATGCCCCCAGAAGTGATTTACCACCTGACAGTACACATTTTTTAATTATCCCTTTTCTTATGATTTTTCATTCTTCGTTTGATATACGCTTTTTTATCTTCGAGATCGAAGAATTAATTCCTATTAATTTCCATTCCTATTTTTAGAATAGGAATGGAAATATATATATATTATATATTTTGCATATGATTTTTATATTTTTTTTCCATATTGTTTTTTCAACTTGAGGGAATAGCAGCGGAAAATAACTTTGTTATCAGTATTTTTCATCGTCATCTTCCTTGATAGTAGATAAAAATGCATAAAAACTGATTGTCAAAATGATAGCCCGTCACAGCTCGGATTTACACACCAAAGGATTTTTTTTTTTATCCATTTTAATGTGCTTTCCCTCTTCTTTTTTACGTTCGTACTCATAGGGACTCGGCATCATGCCGGAAAATTTTTAACGCTCAGCACGAATCCCTCTACCTTTTAGTTTTCCGGACAATAAAAATCGATTTACGGGGTTTCATTAATCTGTCCCGTGGTGTACGCGCCGTACCGTAGCTCAAGCCATCGAGACAAATTTACGATCTACGGTGCATTACAGTCGTAAGGTGTCAGTTCTCTTTTGTGAGAAATAGTGGAAACTGCAGAAAAAAAACCACACTTTTTTTACGTCACAGAAGTTACACAGCTGCTACAAACACAAAACCAAACTGAAAATTTTGTTAGTCAACCCCAGGGCCGGGTGATTCATTGGAGATTCTTTGTGGCAGGATCCTAAACTTTCAAGAAATCCTTTGTCCCTTGTTGGATGCCATCAAGCCCTGATAACCATTCTTATTTCGAATTTTAGCTTTATCAAAAAGAAAATTGATACATTTTTTAACTAAAATAATGAATTATGAATTTTTTAAGCAACCGACATCTATTACACCGATTAACGAATCCACTATTTCTAAATTGAATGAATTTTTGAAGGCGGCGTGAAGAGCGTGACCCGTGAAAGCGGAGCGGGAGCGGGTGGAGGAGTTGGAATTGGTAGTGGTACAGCTCCACCTTACAAACCAGTAGTGCCACGAGAACTTGCTCAGGACTTCTCCAGGCCAGCAAGACTTGATGTACTCCTTGATATGCCACCAGCTACACGAGAAGCACAAGTACATCATGGATGGAATGCTGAAGACCGAAGTCTTAATATATTTGTCAAGGTAAAATCCACTTGTAAAATTCAATTAATAAAATATGAATTTTTTTCAATTAATAAATCGATCAGTTAACGGATTACAACTATGATTAGTCTTCCTTTACTAAATTGCATATGAAAAAATGGTTTTGCAAATATAAATTTATTAGTGTTCCATTACCCTATTCTCTCTCTCGTGGAGTCAATGATTTTTTATTTGATGTGATTGAGCAGGAAGACGACAAACTGACGTTTCACCGTCATCCAGTTGCCCAAAGTACAGACTGCATAAGAGGGAAAATTGGTTACACAAAGGGTATGCACGTGTGGGAAGTTAATTGGAGTACAAAACAGCGTGGTACACATGCAGTAGTTGGTGTTGCAACCTCCGATGCACCATTACATAGTGTTGGCTATCAAAGTCTAGTCGGCAATAATGCACTCAGTTGGGGCTGGGACCTCGGTAGAAATAAACTTTATCACGACTCTAAGAATAACAATGGCGTTACGTATCCAGCGCTACTCAAACCTGACGAGACGTTTGTTGTACCAGACAAATTTTTAGGTAAATATATCAAACGTCAAATTCATTAATTCCAATAGTTGTTTTTCCAAATATTCACCAAAAGTGTTATGAGTAATAGGTGTATTAAATATTTTTGTTCTCTACACAAAATTTTTCTCACATTTTCTCGTAAAATGGTGTTGTGTTGTCAAAATCATTGAACGGAAATGGTTGATATTATTTTAATACGTGTTGTGTTCATAGTTGTCCTTGACATGGATGAAGGAACGTTAGCATTTGTCGTTGATGGCCAGTACCTGGGTGTAGCATTCAAAGGATTAAAAGGAAGAAAATTACACCCTATTGTCTCCGCTGTGTGGGGACACTGTGAGATTACAATGAAATACGTCGGTGGCCTTGACCGTGAGTTAAACCTCCTCTCCCCTTTTTTTTTTCATTAATCAATTCAATTATTAATTTTTCATCTTTTACTCTTAATTTTTTCAATTGATTGATAATGTTTTCTGATTTTTCAGCCGAGCCTCTGCCTCTGATGGATCTCTGTCGAAGAGTAATCCGCCAAAGAATCGGTAAACACCGACTCGAAAGAATTCAGGACCTAAATTTGCCCCACGCCATGAAGACTTACCTTCTGTATCGTGATAGGAGATAACCACCACATTTGATTCATCAACAAATACCCAAGAAAATCATCGACGTATGTCCAGATAATGCCCAGCTGCCTTGCAAGCAAACGAGAACAATCCACGTGTAGTCTCGTGTCTCTTTTTCCTCTTAAAAAAAAAATCAAATAAATGATGAGTCGTTATTTCAGAGAGTCAATGTCGAATAAAACATTAACAAGTCCTGAAAAATATTTCAATCATCGAGACACCAGAATGCCTCTCATAAATGAAAAATAAAAATCTAGCGAATTATTAAGTAATTGTTGTTTTATGTTGTCAGTACGACATCGTCGTTGAGTCTTTATTAATTGTTATGAGTCGATAAAAATGTGTGACCGTTTATCATTTTGTTTTTTTCCGATGGTTCTACTCATTTAACGTTTCATTAATTTTCATTCATCTTCAGTTGTATTGTAATGTCGGAGGGATTCTATTTTTCCTTTGATTTGATTTCATCGAGTAGAGATGATAAAAGAAGAATAATTGAAAGGGGATTTGGCCATTTTCGTGATTGACGTTTAGTAATTAGTGATTGCCTCTGGAGGGGTTTAGATAATATTTTTATCTAAATCTGGCGAAATTTTCTTCCTTCAACTACTTTGGTTCTCAACAAGATAATTTCTCTTTCGATCGTCAACAGCGAAATTCGTCAATTCTTATCGATGATTCATTCATTTACTAATAAAATGAAATTGATGGAGACACGTGGGGGGGGGGGGGGGGACTTCGATATGACCGTGACCCCGAGGATTCCTTCATGGTTGGCCAGTAAATAAAAACAGTTAGACTTAGTCGAGCTTGAAGACTGACAGTGGTCATTGGTACCTAGAGTGCAACAAATGAAACTGTTTTATTTCTTATTTCTTTTTTTTTTGTCTCTAGAAATTCAGGTGGAACAATCTGAAATCCTCGGTTATTGTTGTACAAGTCTAGTCTGATAATGGGTAATGGGCAGATGTAGCTGGTGGAACTGATGATAACACAAGTTGAAAATGACGAAATTATGAACTTTTAATTAATAAAATGATAATTGATATGGTGGAGATGGAATAAAGTGTATAGTGACGAATTAATAATACGTGGAAGGGAATTTATTATCTGTGAGAGGTGATTGATCAAACATCTGATCCCTTCCATAGGACTCATTTTTTCAAATATTTTCTAAGCATGCTAGGTCTAATGATAAATAGAAGTGTGAGCGTATCGTGGCGCAATGATTTTGATAATGAAGAAAATCATTGAGAGATTTTTCATGATGTAAGAGAACAAATTGATTGTGTGGGCCAATTGATGGATTTAGCTATGTTTTATTCATTTCACTTTATGTATTTTTTTTTCTTTTTCGAATGTGAAATTTAAGCGTCAGTCTGGTCATTTTTGTGTCATGTCGTGTGATGATGTAATAATTGATTATGACGATATTAATAGGAAGAATTAAGCTGAATTAGTGAAGTTTTTTTTTCGAATTATTTCGGTAATTAGTGGGTCGAAGGCACTTGTCGATGAGATTATTCAATTAACCGGTTTGAAAATTCCTAGTGGTAGTGAGACTTGGGTTACTTGCGGATTATCTCATTAATGAGGAGCATTTTTCCCGAAAAATCCGACATTTCTCGAAGTAATCATGAGCCTATGGGGAAGACACGAGATTTAACATTTTCCCTTTTTGTGAGATGGATATAATTAATTACCTCGACTAAGTAAATTTAATTATCCAATTTTTCTCCGATAAAAACACTGAAACCATTCTACGTTTATTATCTTTTCTTAGAAAAACCGACTGACTACGGGCATTGACAGTCAACATGCATAATAATTAAAGTGCTGTCATTGATTGATATAAAGACAATTATAAAGAATACTTTATGTTGATTAAAAGGAAAATTCAGTAATTTTTACATGAAGGTAAATTACGAATTTTGATTGAAAAATTATTTTTTTGTTTTGTTTCTCTTTTTTTTCATCTTTACTTTTTATAATAGGAAAATTGTGAAGTGGCTCGTTGTTTTGTACGTCCCAATAATGATGAAAGTGATGAGCAAATTTAATGAGATGGGATAATAAAGTGAATATCCGAGGGGATAAATTCAACGTTATATTAATGTATATATCGTGTATTCTGTCCTATACTCTATTTCATCGTACAAAAAACACTGTTTAGATAACGATTGATGGGGCTCTAGCCTAGATTGTGATTAAACGCACATTGGATTATTCGCTTTAGTCTATTTTCAATGAGAATTATGAGCTGTTGGGGGTTTTGCATTCTCTTTTATTTAATTTCTGTATAGTTCCTCTACAAAATTGCATTCCTTTTATTTCCAGTTTTTCACAGCACAAGCGTAATTTTTGTCAATTGTTGGAAAATAATTATTTCAGATTTGCTAGATTGCTGCTAAAGAATTCGAATGAAAAATTTTTACTCTCATTTTCTCTGATCAATTAATGCACATAAGAACGAAAAATTCAGCCAGAAACACCCCACAATTCGAATTATTTCCGTACAACCGATTACAACGTACAAATGATCCAATTGAGTTAGTGAAAATGAAAAATTTCTACTAAGGAGACGTCTCACAATTTTTTCATCCAAAATTACCTCGGATAAATTGACACAAATTGAGAGAAAAAAAATGTAAGAAACCTGGTAAACCTGGTAAAACTCACAACCGTCTTTATAACCAATACCTACTATTTTATATAGTGAAAAGTTAATTAAAATAACATGTGGACGGATGTATCATGTGACTATGAGACAGGAAAACTAGTATTAGGAATTTGTAAATATGATTATTATAAAAATTGATAAGATTAATATTATTACGATTAATAGTTTAATTGATTCAGCGAATTATCGTGTTAGTCAGCATAATGTGAATTCATTTTATACGGTATAACAAGGGAGTGATTAAATTGCGGAAAATTATAAACGTTGAGTGGGAATTAACGAGAAAATGTGAAAGATTACATGAGAAGAAGAGGGTAGGGAATTTAATGGTAAACATTTAAATAAAAGATAGTAGGTCCAAGTTTTTTCTGTATAAAGAAAGTACTGTTTTTGGCAGTGTGATCCCTTGCCTATAATTTGAAATTGCCTCGATGATAAAAATTATTGAAAAATTACAACAAATAAATGGATGAGAAAATCAATTATGTTGAGGATTAATTACTATTTGTTTTTTTGAATGGATATTCGTGGCATTATTATTACCTCTCTCTCTTTTCTCTCTCTCTCTCTCTCTCTCTCTCTCTCTCTCTCTCTCTCTCTCTCTGCCTCTCGCTATCACTCTCTCTCTCTCTCTTCTCATTGTCTTTTTTCTCTAGGGGTAGTTGTGGGATCAGGGGTTGGAAGCTGAATTCTTTATTTTATATGCAAAGGCTTGTCGAGGTATGTTTGGAGGATAAATTTTCAAAATTTGTCCTTTTTTTTTGTACTGAGTCTCATCCCCTATCGACAGAATTCTTTTGGAAAGCAGAGAATGCATTAATTGAGAAGAGATACGCGCTCATAAATTTCATAAATTTTTTATATTGCTTGTGATTATTTTCAGAGATTTTCCGAGGCCATATATGTGCAGCTTTCTGGGGTTTTGAGCCTTCACTTTTACCTCGTTATCCGTAAAATCGTATTTTCTACGTATTTTTTTTTACTTATTTGTCCCTTTCTCAGTACTAGAATCATGAAATGAAGGTCCTGAAGCGTTTAGCTCTTGGAAAAACATATAACAAAGTAAAAAAAGAAAAAAAAAGAGAGAGCAAAGTATTCTGTGCTCTCGATTAAGTTCAAAAATACAATCTATTATTCATTTTTTTTTCCTGTAATTGTCTCTTGATTTTCATTGTCAAGTGTAAATAGAATGTTTTTATAATAATTATTAAAAATAAATAAAAATAATAAAAATACCACTGATGGAAGGCAACGAGAACTCTTGATTTATTTTCAATGAAGCTCTCTGTTAAAACAAAAACAATATAACAAATGGATTGAGCGCAGGAACAAGGACAGGTGAACCATTTTTTGAATATTTTTGTTGAATTCTAAAAAAACACGAGAACCGAATTAACATTCTGCAAAATTTTAAATTACTGTCAACCACACTCTCCCTCGCAAAACAATCTTTACCATTTATTGTGTCTTATATCATTGTTGAAATCCACGATATCTAACGCTCTTGATCATCACTAATTAAAAAAAAAAAGCTCATAGCAATTATAGAAAAGTTATAAAATAAAGTTTCTTATCTGTTCAAAATGAATAAATCGTGATTCGGTTTGAAATTTTTCAACGACAAATTTGTCTTGCCACTCAACAAAGTGATGGAAAAACTGTGCCCACTGATAAGTGAGATGAAATCGCTCTCAATGCAAAAAGAAGAGTAAAACATGTTCCCATGATACTGCCCGCCCGCCTGGTTGTATTACTACGTTGCCTCGGCGAATGTGTTTAATTTATTGACAAAATGCGATAATTACAGGTGACTAACTTGGAGTGAATGATATTCTAATTGAGCAAATGAATGGCTTTATCACTGAAAAAATCCCAAAGACTAAAGTCCCTTGATGTTAATTCATAAAAATATAAAATTCATATGAAAGCGGTTAAAAGCGGAGGTATTTTTGCATCTTAAGGGGAAATGCTTTGAGCCTTTGTATTATTATCATTTACAATTTTATAATTCAAGTATTTTTATTTGCGGACAATTCAATTTCTGGGATTTTTTCATGGAATTATTTTTATTTCTGCTGCGAAATGATGGAGATAGAAATGTCCTGTTCTGTTTTTTCTTCGAGCATGTTGAAAACATTCTTCGAAAAGTGTCAGAGGAATTCCTGTCGTGACATCTTCCGTTGAAACTGAATTATTTATTAGATATTGTAGCGTATTTACAGTCATGAATTTCGCTGTTAATTTCCATTCTGAGATGAATGTAATTATCATTGAATTCTGTTATACCTGGACTATTGCAACGAGCGATCTCACGTATAAGTTGACGATTTTAGCGTGGTATTGCTGTATAGTAACCGAGTGGGAAAGAATTTATAAATATGTAATGCCTTAATGTTAACGATAATAATATCAGCGTTATATTAGTTGAAGAGGAATGAAAAAAAAAAAAAAAAACAAAAACATAAACCAAAAAAAAAATAAAAGTGGATATAAATGAAAATGATATAATAAAAAAAGCCACTATTAATTGACTACTATCTCCAGTTATGTTCGTCATTTGATATTTTTTTATGAATTTCGAGGGGAGTAATCTAGTTGATAATGGGAGGATGTGGGTTCATAGAGTTAAAGACGAACGATAAGAGAGTGGGAATGTATAGAGAAAATGCTGTCTAAAAATAGTTCAGGCTGGATGTCGATGTTTGTAGCATATGAAAAATGCAACACAGTATAATAATTAAAGAAGAAAAACCACTTAAATTTTTCTGTTATCCTGTTAAAATTTTTTGTCGCTTTTTATCTTGTTTAATTGCATGAAATACCACTCCAATTCTCTGATTATTATGAAATTAAATAGGGAAAATGGACAAATGCGGGATAAATTAGGTTTCATCATGTGCTCAATCAGATTGGTCGCATAATTATTTTCAACGAGTTTCAACGGTTTCGGAGCCAAGCGGAAGTACACAATCTCTGTAAAGTACGCTGCAATCATCGCCTCTGAGTCCCGCTGCTCCCGCGTCCTCCACTTGTCGATCCCAACCGGATGACGCACTCTTCACCGATTTTCCAACGCTTCGCCTGGTAAATTGATACATTATATACTGACTTTCATCAATTGCCCAAGACAAGGAGAACAGTTATTTAACGGTGAAAAGTTACTAACGTTAGATACTTTGCTAATTTGGATCCCACCGGTCCCAAGTATTTTAATAGTTGACGGTTTTCCAGGCAAATTGTCCATTGGATGCACTGGATTCTTGCATCAATGTCCAGGACATCTTGCTGCTCTCGAGTCTAAAATCAAGAGAAACTCAGAGTTTTTTAATATAAGCAAAAAAGTATTTGTTGAAATGTTTTTTTTTTTTCTCACTGTATCAAGGAGTAGAATAATTGAATAATACCATGTGGTAAAAATCCGTAGAAACCAACAAGTCACGTTTTTTCCTTGCTAACAGTGAGTCCATCGATTCCCTATGTTTACTGACCATCATGGCGCCTTGGATAATAGCAAAAAGAGTTAGAAGTCCGATGAACAATGCAACACTCACATATTTAGCAGGTACTGCAATTTGATTATTCAGTGATGGTGCAACCTGATATCCAAATTCAGGATAACCGTAAGGAGTCCACTCTACATTCCGATAATGGGAAACTGGTGGGTATAGTGGGGCTAAAAAGTTAAAAAGTATAGGAATAATTATCCACTTTACAGTGAGATCAATGCTCAGTGAGACGAGGGGAAATAAATCGACATAGGGCAATAATTACCAGGTATGTAATAACTCGGTGGTACTGAGTGTTGTAATTCGGTGGTATAAGGGGATATCTGTGTGACAACATCTTGTGAACTCGGTGGCCACCAGTCGTTTCGCTTTAAATTGCTGATTGTACTTATTGTGCTGGTAACTGGTGATGCTAACTCGCTCTGGTTCTCAGCTAATCCACTTACTGCCGAAATCACCTGCTGTGTTTCAATTAGTTGCAATAAAAATAGTACAACCACTAGCACCATTGAAATGCAACGCGACAACATTTCTGATATCTATTAACTTTTTGTTATCGTTTCATCTAGCTCCCTGTTTTTTTTTTAAATCTTTACTGTGTGCTCTGACAGAGACGACTGTTGACTGAGTCCATTATAAATGCCTCCGGTAATCTTAAACCATAAAACGCCAATTTATTCGGGCCTAATCGCCGATTCGATACGCCTCAAGACTGAAACCATCGTTTACTCATAATTTTGGGGGAAAGACAATCATCCGGCTCACTGGGGGTGAAGATTATTATGGAAAGCAATGGGAATGTCAGGATAATTTTCATCTAAAATATAATTTTCATCTAAAAACTTCAGAGAGGAGCGGACAAATATGGAAGAACAGTTTGTATATGAATGAAAATTAGTTTCTTTAATGTTTGAATTAGGGGAAACACCAGACAGTATAATCAGTTTATTATTAGAAGATGAGAATTTGGGATTTATCAGGAACAAAAAGGAGATGCTACATGATAATAAGTGGAATCACGTGCACCAGGAGCACTGAGTGTGGAATTAGGTCACATAACATCAACGCCATTGCACAGGGTAAACATTCTATTTTTATCAATTTTTCTTATTATAAAGACCATTTGACAAACTAATTGCGAATTCTCCAGGAATTTATAAAAAAATTCTTATTTATACCCACATGAGGCGTATTTTACCCGTCTCTAAACTTCTATACGTACGGTTTCAATTAGAGTGGTTTCAATAATTCGGTGGACCAGAGTGAAACGCAGTAATTATTAATTCATAAAAATAATGTGTCCGAGTGGAAATTCATGTCACTTTTTAATAATAAATTAATTTTTGTTATCATTCATGATTTCCGTTGGACTATTTTTCCATTTTGAAACTTCTATTACAATCTTCAATCGCTTGGAATTCTCTGTTTCCTATTGATACCGGGGATTAAAATCCCGGGGAATGGTTTTGGCGTCTGATCAGATAGGTGCTACCCTACTGTGACGTATATTACCGAGTAGATAACCCCTGATCCCAACATCCAATCTCCGTTTTAATTAAAATTTACCCTAAAATTTTCAAGAGGAATTCAAAAAATGCCGCGTTAAAATGTCAAAATGTCGAAGAAATTTCAGATGGAAAACTGAACAAAAACAAGAGATAAGAGAATGAATTGTTATATCAAGTTTTTCATCTGATGGCAATTGGAAAAGAAACGGTATTTATAGTGAAAATAATGAAATAATCATCCTGCGAAATCTAAATCAAGACTATATTTCAGTGACACAAGAATTAATAAGAAGAGCACTGAAGTTATTGTCTGATCGGATAAGTTTTATTCCACTTGATGGCGTATTGCAATTGAAATTCATTACTGCAATTTGTATTTTTCTCTCATGAGTTTTCGGGATGAATTATTTATAGATAGATGGTTAAATAAAAAGAAAAAAAATTCGGTAAAAATAGTAATAGTTGCTATTGGTTAGTAAGTATTGCTATAGCCTATATCGTAAAGTATCGTCTTTATGTTGGACACATTTTTACGATTAATTATTTTATAATAAAGATAATAAAGTGAGCGATAACGAAATTATTTATGCAACAGGGTGGAGTCAAGCGGGAGAAAAAGCGCTCTCGTTTCGCCCTATATATTGGAAACGGTTCTCTCTATATCAGAGGCTCGTTACGCGCCCTACAATTTTCCCACGACGACGACTCTCTATATCTATGCATAAAACCACCCCCTTATGGGGGGCAGAGAAATAATTCAAATACAGTACATTAAATACGTTAATTTTAGTTTATTAAAAATGGTACGAAGGAAGAAATGTCGGTTCACTATGACCTTCCTCGGTAGACTAAGAGTGATCAACGAGACCAAAAGAAAAGGATCCCCAGTCCCTTTTGATTCATTTTTGAAACCATAGACTCATAAAAATCCATTTATAGAAGACTCAGGCTATATTCCAACAAACCCCATCTGCTAAAATGGCCGTCAATTCTCCACCATTTATTTAACTGCGATTTTTGCACAGTATTTAGTAATTTCAGTTGGAGATGTGATTAATTTGAAATTCAGATTGGGCCTTATTTAATCACCATCTAAGCGATTGAATTGGTGAAAAAAAACATTGCATATTGATCGGAACTCAAGAACAACTGCACAAATTTCTCAGGGAAATTTCACTACTCATATTTCATTTCACTATCTCATGTGTAACCATTATGTGTGAGACGATTCAGTAATGAAATTCCATATCGCGAATTCCAAGCATCCTCGACGAGTCTACTATTTACCCCTTATAGTTTCCACCCCTAGACCGACCTCCCTTCTTCATCGTTTTTCCCCTCCGACTGCATTTTCGAATCACGACCGAAAATGACTCTAGGGCGGTGTCGAAATAAAGACATACTCTCGAATAATAGAAATCCCATCCCTCTATCTAACGGTTTTCCTCATCTCCAGACGCCAGTCAACGGATAAATTTATTTATTATTACGTATTTGTATAATATTATTTAATTTGAATCATACTATTTATTTGAGAATGGATTCTCAAGAGAACAGATTAAGGGTGGAAATATTTTTGTACTTCATATGTATTTCAAAGAAATCAATATTTCTGAATTATCCTTCCCGAAAAAAAAAAAATCCTTTCAATTGAATTCCACAGGCACTCTGAAATCACCCTCGTCAAAATGACGAAAAGAAAACCCATCAAGAAGTAACCCAAAGAAAAGAATATCCCGAATTACTCCGTCTGCCCTCTTTGAATTTTTCACCCTCGAAGCCACCCCCGACAATCGACATTCGTCGGTTGCGTTGTTATCGAACGATTGCGCGCGCAGAAGAATTTATAAGGGGCGTACCAGTTGGTTACGTCTTGCTCAATGTATAATGTACCAAAGAGGTGCCGTAGGGTACTCAACAAAGCTGGCCAAACACTAACGGCGCTAGCCCCGAGTGACGAGTGTTGGAAGACAACAATTCGTCGACCACTCGCTGAACAATTATCCCGTAGAGAGCTTTGTTAAAATTTTATAGATAAATAACGGGATATAATAAAACCTGTCATCAGTGACTGCCACAACTCAAGAACTCAAAGAACTTCCATTATAATTTTGCTAATCCTATAATCCCAGGAATTGATCATTCAAAAGTGTCAAAGTGCATTAATTCCCCTTGACTATTAGTTCTCCTCATAACAATCGAATTCATATTTGATTAGTGATTAGGCGCTGATGAATAAACGCGATTAAAAGAACCTAACAGATCGGGATCGGGTAAACAGAAACACGCTGATTGTTTGTGTCTGGGATTGCAAAATAATCTCGATAGTTAACCATTCCTTGGAATTCATCGTTAACAACGGCATTATCCGTCAAGAATCAGATTTTTGGTTTATTGAGTCGAAGAAAGAGTACATTTGGAGCACTGAAGAGGATTGCATCGATCGTTCGCCATTTTGTTAGCCTCTATAGTACTCGAAACATCGCATCACTTGCACCCCATCGACACGCTGACAAACCACAAGTGACCCTCTGCAATAAAAAAAATTTAATTTTCGAGGAGAAGAGGGCAACAGTAATTATCACCGACCAAGGTGATTCGTGAAGAATTCGTGAGGAGCGTACATCCTCGACTTTAGTGTATTGATCGTGTGCGCCATATTAGTCTGAACCGCTTGGTCTGAGGGGATGCGTGGGCAAACGAGGGAAGACAGTGGTTGAAGGCGGGACGATAGTGACATAAAAGGTGATAAACTCATTCAAAAATATTAAAAACTACTTGTCGTTGTCGGAATCATTTTGACAAGTGTAAAGAAACAAAAAGCAATTAACAAAAAAAAAAAAAAAAGAAAAAGAAAAAAAGAAAGGCTCAAAACGATAAGTGTCTGAAAAACGGAAAAAATTTAAGCTAAAACCTTGCTTGGTAATTAAATTGGAGGAAGTAAGAGAAGTTTTCGAGAAGTGGAAAAAATATAATCAATCACAAGCCTATATTTTATAAATTGAGGACTAGCTGCTGCCTAGTACCCGGGAGGCATCAGGCTGGGAGGACGTTTGAGTGAAGTGGTGGGTCCCGTCGTGGAGGAGGCCATTGAGCCAGGGGATGCAACCCCGCTGACGGGACCCTCGAGGGAGGCCTCGATACCCCGAGCCCCTCCACCTCCACCTCGTATAACAACTCCAAGTCCCCCAAGACCACCACCTCCTCCATCACCACCCCAACAGTCCCAACAGCCTCAACAACTCCAGGTTCATCTCCATCCGCATCTCACCAAGAGTTACAGCCAGGTACCAGCTCACGGCCACACTCAGAGTCAACATCAGCACCTCCAGCTGCAACATCAAGTCAGCGAACCAACACAAAATCAAAACATGGGAACTGTTCTTTCATTTAGCCCCAAGGAGCGGCGATCATCATCAGTCTATCCACCAATTGATCATCAGCATTCAGACTTCACTCTCAACAACTTCAACTACGAACAGCTAAACAATGCCAAGAATCGAGAGAACAAGAGTGTCACAGCTGTTGCACCAGCGCCACAAAACACCAACAATAATTCATTGCAAAATAATAATATTAATTTGAATAATAATGATAATGCAAGAATTATATCGGAAAAAAATGCACTGGAGAAAAATCTCAAGAAGCATTCGCTGTTCATTAATGCATTGTCGTGGAAACGATTTAGTACGACAAATAATAATAAAAAGAAGTTGGATAATAAAAATAAGAACATCACTTTCAGACAGCCACTCGATAATATTCCTATTGTCGATAAGAATAAGAATATTCAGACACCACAGGTATGTAATTGTCATTCTTTTCACATCTTTATAAATTTATCATTGTCCGAAAACTCATTGTTTGAGATAAAAATAAATAAACATGAGAACTTTGCCTTGAATCATAATCAAAATTCAGGGAATTTTTCTCTTCAGCCTATATATACTTAAGTTATTAAATTTAATTGAAGAACAGCGCTAATCACTGGGGCCACTGGGCAATCTCCCTTTTGATGCTGGAAAAAGTTGACAAAGTACTTGTATTTTTTTTATTTTATAGTCTCCTTGATACTTTGATCTATCAGTTAATGGAGCCATTCGTGGAAAGATATCTCAGTGTTTATTTCACTCAAATGAAACCTCTTGTAAACATAAGTGCACGGCAACTATACCATATTGCGTGTATTCCACCTGTTTCAAACGTCATCAATGCCCCTGGATCGATTGCATTATTCGCAGACCCAAAGCCATTTATTTTTTCCGATCCATTATTTAGGGTATATGCAACTAAATTCTATTTTTCGTCATCTCAGATGCAAAGATGATAAAAAGTCACGAGAAAATCTGCTCACTCTATTTTTTTCATGCTATTCAATTGTCTAGGGAAATGAATATTAATTCAATTCATTTTAATATGGAAAAATGTCGGCTGGGAAATCTTGGTATTATATACACGTGACACGTGCACTGTTGACAGACAAACCAGTCTATAACATACATAGATACACGATGCAAGGACTTAACGCGAGACTATTCAGAATCGGATTGTCCTACTTTTCAAACTGCAGTGCGTTATTCATATTTTTAGAATATTTTCGACTCGCGGGTATAGAACTTAGTGGAGAATCGCTCAAAATTTTATCGGGCGTGGACTTTATTTTTCTGTTCGATTTTCATTAAACAATTGGGAAAATTGAGAAGTGAAAAATCGGCTTTTCCAGATAGACTTGATTTCGGTTACAAATGAAAAACAGGAATTCATAAAAAGAATAATCATTTATTTAATTTTCGCCAGACAAAAGCTCCAGTGTCGAACAACAATCACACAACGCACAATTCCAAGTGCGATAAAATAGTGGACAGATCACAACAGCCAACTGGACCACGTAAAACAGTTATTCAAGCATCAACGTCCGAGTTATTGAGATGTCTCGGTGTTTATCTTCACGGTAAATGTACACGATTGAGAGACTTTCAAGCTGGTGATGCTGTCATGTGGCTTAGAACAGTTGACAGGAGTTTACTACTCCAGGGATGGCAGGTGAGTCATTTGCTTGGGGATGAATGGAGGTCCGAGTTTGAACGCACCAGTAGATATATTCTTCTTCATAGTAATGACCTGAGTCCTTTAAAATTGTCAAGTATTTTCAAAAAAACACATTTGCCAAGGGTTGCAAATGATAAATGCTCGAGATTGCCACTGTTATCAATTAAATTCTCCCAGAGGAGTATTATTAATAATTATTTTTAAATCCATTCATCGAATTTCACATTATTCCCATAATTTACTATGAACATAGTTTACCATGTTCATCGACGGAAATTCAAGCCGAGCCCGAATCGTAATCGTCTTTATTCCCCTTTACTCCACTTAAGTCTCGGAAAAGAGAATAATTTTATGATCTACCATGTTATGTTAGATTTTTCCTTTCAACTTCCAAGAAAAAAACATGAGAATATTTTGCCAATATTTATATCACACTTTTTTTTTCCAATGGGGTTGGTATCTGGGTCTCGTTATAAATATTCCTTTACAATTTCTAAAAATAATTACACAAAGATGGGTGGAGAAAAAAATGATGAAAATTGAGATAGAACGAAATAGCTCATTAAACATTTCGAAACAATATATTTAAATAGTCGAATAAATTTGTATTTTGTTGAGATGTGAAGCAATGAAAAGAGTAGAGGGTTACGATGTGCACGAAGGGAGGGGTGTCGATATGACGACAAAACGAGTGGACTGATAAATAAAAAAATTCATCCTACAGACGCGCGACTTGCAGAAGGATGAGACAAAGAGAGTGAGTGGGGTAAATGCCGGAAGGACGTTTTGTATGCAAAATAAAGCAGTATGTAATTGTAAGACGAGACTCGCGTGGAAATAATTGAAATAATCCAACTTAATTTCATTATTATAATTCATATGTGAATTTCTATAATTGTCGTTTTTATGGTAACTAACTATGGACTGTTCATTCGAATCAAAATATTGATTAATTGATCACTAATTAATTAAATATATATCCAAACTATATGGCCGCGATCTGGGGTGAGTAATGATGTACCTTGAGTGAAAAGAGAAAGAGGTCAGGTAAATATTAGTAGTGAAGGTGAAGAGAAGCTCAATATGAGATTCTCGGCCCTCTCTCCACCTTTAAATTGAATTAAAATGGTTTGATGACGAGAAAACAAAATATAGAGAGAGGTCAACCGGGCTTCTCTATAGTACTGTAGCAACAAGAGGATACAATATCGGGGGCATCGATCTAGCGTTTACCCTCGAGCTCTTGGGTCACTAGGAGATCTCTCCCACATGATATAAACTCCGACAGCGTGTGCATGGTGACCCAGGTGTCTATGTGCAACTGAGATCGTAGACAACAACGTTCAACCGAGAGAACGCACCTCGGCAGCAACCCTCCACTCTCCAAGGTATTGTAAACACTCATATTGGCTGCTGTATCCCGACTAAATCAGGTCGCACGTTCCAATTCGCTAATGATGAGAGGTACGCCTGGCCAAGTCAGTTGCAGCGGCGGTATCGAGAGGGTTAAAGGAGGAAAATAAAAGTGTAAATAACAACCGCATATCCCTCACTGAGATGAAGAAAGTAGATGGAAGATCCATCTACTGGATCAACGTAATCTGATTATTTTAAGTTGCCCTCGTAATATTTTGCCGCTTAACATTAAACAAACTATTATGGCTATCATTGAAAACATCAGCCTTCAGCCAATTAAATTGAATTAAATTAAATTTAATGATGAATGATGAATGATGAATGATGAATGATGAATATCATTCGGATACTCCATCTTATTTTGCAGGACGTACCCTTCATCAATCCAGCGAACGTAGTCTTCGTCTACATGCTTGTTCGTGAGTTGGTAGATGGTGATGAAGCATCGGAGCGTGAGCTACAGGCAACAGTGCTCACCTGCTTATACCTAAGCTACAGCTACATGGGCAATGAGATCAGCTATCCACTGAAACCCTTTCTCGTTGAAGACAGTAAGGACAAATTTTGGGATCGTTGCCTACTGATTGTCAACCGTTTGAGCTCAAAGATGCTGAGGATCAACAGCGAGCCTGGTTTCTTCACGGAGATATTCACCGAGCTCAAGGTATATGACACCCCCTGGAGACGTCCTTCACTGAATATGGGCGTATAAAACCCAAAGGGCCTGTACGTAACGCCCCCTCGTGACATACAAATTGTAATTATCTAACCTAAACACCAAAAATTTGTTGCAATTTGTAACAGGCCTGCGGAACCGGAGAGCGCGGCAGTCTTACTGGGAGTGGCCTCGAGCGAACCCTCGTCGTCTCCGGAGTCGCGGTACCCACCAAGGCAGCTTGACAAAGCTACAGAGAATTTTTGGATCGGATCACCAGGAACGAATGCTACATCGAGCCATTCTGACCTACCGCAGAAAAGGGAAGAGCCGCCCTTGCTGCATGACAAGCCGCTAACGGCCCAACAGCCACCAGTACCATCAACCTCGGGTGCGCTACAACATCCCCAAAAAACATTACTGGAACCACCTGGCTCGATGCAATTGCAGCAGCGTCGTGCCAGTGGTGGTTTATCGGGGCGATGTCCAGATTGTGGTAAAAAACGTGAGGATGCTGTTTCGTATACGATTGAGGACCTTGATGCTGTCGATGGTGTCCCATTGGAGAGCAACTTTCCTGGTCAGGTTTGCACGTGTGATGAGAATGCTACCGCTGTTAGAACGCCTGAGCCTTCACCCTCATACAGAAGGCCCCATCCTGATTTGCACAAGTATAGAAGCGTTGAAATGTCCAGATGGTCGGGCAATTATTTGGCTCCTGATGATGCTACTGTTTGTCATTTGTATACGACTGACGATGCTATTTGGGGATTGCAGCATGCTGGTGAAGACACGGAGTACCGGTGGGAGATGCACACCTCGCGCACCGATATTGATCTCAATCGTAAGACTAAGTGCAGTTGCCATGATCTTACGCCAGAGGAGAAGCGTCATCCGGGGCGAGGGGACTTGAAGAAGCATCACAGTGCAGAGACCGACAAGTGGTCTCTTCGAGCTGATGCTTTAGGCTCAGAGCATCATGATCTCAGAAAGCACCTGAGTGATGCCTCTGGTATGGCAAGAGAACTGGGTCAGCAGCCAATGGGAAAAACACTTCAGGTACCTGAAGTTATGCCTAATCCGAAGCCCCGGTGCACTTGTCCAAAGCCCAAATTTCTCACCCCATCGCCACCTGCTGATAAGCGCAGCCAAAGGTTCGCTGATCAAGAGAACAAGGTTATGTTCTCGAAATCTTTGACACCCGAGGAATCGCTGCCGGTGCCTGAGAAGAAGCCTGAATTGAAGAAGACCGCGAGTGAGGATGTACGGGTGCCTCTACCGAGAAGAGAGCGCGGCCGACTTGTTCAACAGCGAGCTATTGAGAAATCATCCATCAAGAAATGGGAGCCCAAGGAGAAAGTAGTCAGTCCAGTGGAAGAGCGAAAGGCACAGCGATCGAAATGGGCGGGAATGACGCATTTCTCTCTCCAGCCAGAGAAGAAGGAGATTAAATATGGTGACCCTAAGAGCAAGAGCTTGAAGGAGCGTCAGCGGTACAGCGTTCGAAGAAGTCTGTCACCGGAGCCAGATCCACGTGGAATTGTGAGGGTTGACAGCCGAATCGTGAAGCGTCTTATTTCGCCGGACATTACGATCACTAGCGATGCTAAATGGGCTCCGTACGAGGGCTACTCTCCCCTCCCAAATGTCGGAATCAGGAAACGAGAGCCAAAGCATATTCGTGAAATCAAGTGGACCCCCTATGATGGTTCAGCCTCTGAACTGAGTATCCTTGAAGTGCCTGAGGAGGCGATTGCTGCCGACGATTACCACATAACGCCGACCTGTCACCCGCCACCTCGAGCGCCATCGATGAAAGAGGAGGATGACGAAGATGAACGCGCTCGTTGGAGATTTCTCAATCAAGTCTCTCCTTTTCCCATTTATCAGGGCGCCTGGAAGGAAATCTCCCCGGAAAGAACTCCCCCTAAGACTCCAGAAGATCTGGAGCCACCGATCTGGACGCCAATGGAGCCGCCCGCGACACCAGTGAAACGTCGAAAGCCTTCGCTCATTGTTGAGCCAATACCTGTTCCCGTTAAGCTTGGGAAGGAGTCACGAAAAGAGAAGAAGAGGCTGAAGAAGGCAGAGAGCGCTGTCGCAAGGGAGACGACTCTTCGACTTGCTCCACCTACAGTCATCATCAGGGCTTCCAGTGAGGATCAGCAAAAAGCTCGTCAGCGTCCTTTGTTGACGCGCTCCAAGGCACTCCTCGAAGTACCGCGAAAGGGCATCGACATAACCAAACGGTCACACAGCGAAGAGGTGCCGCGACATCGGGGCCACGAGACCCATCATGGTCCCAGTCGGGCTAGGAGTGAAGAATCATCGATGTATCCCTGGAATGACGATGGTGAAGTAAGGCAGTACGTCACGACGGTCTAGGACACCTCCACTCTTCTTCATTTTCTACTGCATTTTACTGCCTGAGGTGAATGAATAAACTGGAGAATTTTGTTTTTTGATCAACATCGACGGCTCGTTCCTCTTTTTGTTACCAAAAGGCCGGTCTACTAAGCCAAAGCGAAGAAAAACGTTACCATTAAAAAGAAAAAAAAAAAAACAACTCGACATTGACTACTTTTGGCGGCCTACGCTAATGTGAAACTATAGCAGAGGGAAAAATTGTATGTTGTGCGGTTAAGGCGCAAAGTCAAATAACTATGGCCCTGTTTTCTTGCGTCTGCGGAGCACAAGGAACTCCCGTCGTGTCTGCGCAGTGAAAACATGAAGCTGCAACATTGATGAAAAAAAAAATAAAAAAATGTACGTTACTTTCTCCGGGGATAAAAAAAAAGACACTTGACGAGACTTGAAGGTGGTAGATTTGGGGGGCGTAGATGAATTATTTAACGTTCTCAATTGTTTGCTGAATGTCGATGAAGGAGAATAAGGAAAAATGGTAAGACCGGATGCATATATGAAGGGCAACGATGTTATTAATAAATAGTTAACGAATTGTAGTTGTTGCCTGAGTAGTTGGGAGTAGATCCAATGATAATAAATAATATGAATTTATATCGAAAATTGTACTAAGTGAGCTATCTCTTAGGTATGAATTAATCAGCATTGCGAGCATTTACTTTGTACAAGGAATCGCTTATAATGGGTTCAAATCATTACTACAATTTTCGATAAAATTACGATTATGGAGGGGTGGTGAACAATTGCTAAACGATAATAATAGACAAGCTATGATGATAAGTAGACGTGATTGGAATGATGGCGGTGATTAATGAATTATGCATTATGTATTAACTCGCTCAGTTTATTATTAATTAACGATTCCAAGAGCTGCGATGAAAAAAATCACTGATTAATTAAAAAATTGGCATTTGTGAGGCAAATTAGAATTTAATTTGAAGGTGAAAAAGGGTGATAATGATGATAATTATGGAAAAACTGTTGAAATTCAGTACCCTTAAAATGCTCTAGAATCTCGTATAACTTAATTAATAATGTATAAGTTTACCTTAGGAGTTGGATTACCTTCAGTGTAATCCAGTAGTCCCGTGCCGGGGTGTGCAATATTAATTAGTAAAAAATCATTAATAAATCGGTTATTAGATGTTAAGCCAGGTGTCAAGGGTAATTCATTCTCCATTTAATTCATAATGATTATTTGAGAATGATATAATCGATTGATGAAATTTACTTTCCACTCGTAGGAATTATTAATCATATTTTTAATTTAGGAAATGATGAGCGATGAGCACAGATGAGTTTTTGATTGAACGGTTGATAACGATCCCAGCGGATTAAGTTGTGCTGTCTGTGATTGCATTAGATATCCATTCATTGCTCTCAAATTATAAGTCTAGGGCTGTAAGTGTGTAAGGACATCACTATTCATCTAATTTGAAATTATTTTTGGCATTTGTCAACGATTTTTGTGGACATTCGAGGCATCATTTCGTGGAAGTCGAGGATTTTCAATATTCTCTAGGAATATAGGAATAGAAAAATTAAGCAATACGCGTGTAAATTTCATTGCGTGATTTCATCGATGTATATAATATGTATGGATATGCATTAATAAGGAGCTCTTCCGGTGGGTGAATTTCGAGCAGTTTCGAGTCGAGTATCATTCGTAGTTGTTTAATTAATGATCCTCTTTATTTATTATCCATAATCATTATTGCATTCAACAGATGCAATTTTTTTTTTTTTTTTTTTTTTTAGTATTGAAACTTGAATAGGGGATCATACTCATAATAATTGCGCCATGTCCATATTTATTTCGTTAAATGAATCGATTTTTGAGCGATACGAGTAAACAATCAGTAGATTAGTCATTATTTCCAAGCGGAAGATTTTGCTCGTATAGCTAAATGTTGAGATATTTTGATAACAAGTGGTGGTGGCGGCGAAGAATATCGAGACTTTGTCTTTCACGTTAGAATCAATCGTTATCGACATGATTGTACTTTTCTACTCAGTGAATTTTTTCTGTTTCTGTTGTAAATTCATAAAGTGAATAATGACTAATTATATGAATAATGACTCGATAAATACAATTAATAATAACTGAATCACTTCAAACATTTAATCAATTAACTTCACTTTTACCGAGAGTAATGAAATCTTAATGATTACTTTTAGGATGGATTAAAATTTTTATTGATAAAAAAGAATTCTCCCGACGATTCGTAGACATATTACCGTCCCGCAGACAACCCCTCTGTACCATGATCCTCTGAGATCGATAAAATATATTTGCGGATCGTTAGGGATGAATATGCGACACCAATTCGATAACGAGACCATTGCAATGCTGCAGTACACCTTATCAGTGCAGTAATTACCAGGAAGAATCCAATGGAGGTCTGAATTTATTCTGAGAAATGAATGAAATAGAGATTTGTATCATTCATTTTTGGACTTGCAAGTTTTTGACACCTTCGGCTATTTCATTCGCATAATCGAGAGGATTAATAATCGGTCAAACCGAAGAAATTCAACGTTGAGTAATTATAATAACTGTAGCTGGCACGAGAGCCAAATTAAATTATGATGATTAGATCAAACTTGAATGGTGACTATATTGCGATTTTGTTTAATTTATTTATTCTTCCGTGTTATTGTTCTTACGACGCTTCTTATGCCACGTCTAGTCCGATTGACAGTGATTTTTATTATTGATTAATTATAATTTGTTGAGCATTACTCCAGGTGAAATTTTTTCTATGTTCCCCCCTCCCTCCCCTCGTCACTCTAAGCGGCCGACGAATGATTAGGAAAATTGCTGATGGAAAAATCCATTTGACAAGTTGTGAAGTTACTGGAAATATTACTCCCCCTGTATAGCGCAATGCCATTATCTGTGCAACAATACCAATATACAATACCCGTAATATGAGGTCAATGTTGATTTGTTTAAATAAATGTAAGTTCGAAAAATTGATTATGGAGTTTTATTAAAAAAGGAATGCTTCTCCTGGTTTTTTGTTGCTATTACTTATTTTTCAAACCCAACAATCTAAAATTCCCCATTAACTATTCCAATAAGGGAGCTTACAGTAGTGTATTTATTGTTTCAGTATAATAAAAATCATTTATAATAGCATTTAATAATTTTTTGTGGATATCTAATGTGTGGATAGATAATTCAACCTTAGCCAAAATATTTCTACGTTTATCACTTTTGCATTGCTCCGGCAGTTTTCAAAATTTGAATGTTTTGTGGAGTCTTAATCATCTTTTAATTTGTTATTCATTTTGTATTGTATTTCAATGGAGAAACACATTGAGGTTGTTGAATCGTTAAATCGATGACAGTGTAATTTACTATTCGATACGCAGTGGCAGCAGTATAATTAATTTTCGTTCACTCGGGAAATGAGTCTAAAATTTTTCTACACTCTTATTCTCGAATATCTTGGAAACCAGCAGATTTGAAATTTCATTTTCAAACAGAAAATCTATCTTTTACGACATTTACATCGAAATTTACTCATTAGATAAGTCGACTTGTAATTAAAGTGTATCGTTTAATTTCGATGTGTATATGATGATTGTGGATATATTTTCTCTAGTGATTATTCTACCAAAAAATTTGCGTGAGATGACCTAACATGATGGTCATTACGTTCATTATGAAAATTAATTAATTTAAATGTATTCTAAATCAAAAATTCGCGTGGCGGGAGGCCTTCGATCATCAGTGAACGTTTGAAAAAAACAATTTGAAATCTCACCAATAAATTCGTTTTTTTTTCTCTGGGCTTACATGAAGTTTACCTGAGTTTACTGAAAATTTCGTGTAATTCATCAACTATCTTCATCTTTGGCGATTTTACTCACTGAATTGTAATGCGCACCTAATTTGTACATATGACGATGATAGGTTAATGTGACTTTCCGACTGTGTTCGAATTCAGATCCAATGATGTACGGTACTCCTGTTGCCTGAATTACTTCGATTGGACATTTCAGAACTTGCGATAATACTTGAAGCTCTATTGCTCCACCCCATGCACTCGTATTCGCTACATCATTACAGTATTTTTCGTATTGTTCAGATGAGAACAATTCGTCAGAGTCAGGATTCGATAAAAATGGAAGAAAATCGTTCATGTTTGCACGAAGATGACTAGCTGTTTTAGTCCGTAAGTCCTGTAGACCGTGTGGCATGTCGCCCAATAGTTTTAATTGATGGGCTACGGCATTATATAAACAATGCCCATCACTGGGAATTTCATAGAGTTTAAGATCACGTTCACACAGGATTTTCTCTATGGCCTCGGCCTCCAAAGTTCTTTTTCCAAAAACATTTAATGTCTCTTGTTCAATTATCCTCTCACTTCTCTCCCTCTCAGCTAGTGCTTTTTTATCTCTCCTTCTCTGTGCCTTGGATATTCTCTGAACAATCTCTACATCTGCTTTGCCATCCTTATCATCATCATGATCTGAATTAATTACAGTCTCACTCGAGGGTAATCCTGTCAGTGTTACTTGTGATAATTTGAAATTTATCAGCTCCTCTTCATGACGTGTGTCTAGGTCTGACTCCATTCTCATTATCTCTTCAGTCACTTCTCGTTTCCTCTTTTTGTCACCTTTGCAAATCGATTTTTTGAGGGTTTGAATTTGTGCTGTTGAAATAACGATGAATTATTTAAAGGGAAATAGTGTCTCTTTTGTTTTTATCGACAAGTACTGTTAAATCGAAAATTTTGCCAATAGCCTCGAGTCTATTGGTCTAGTCCAGAAAAAATTGAGGAATATGCATAGAAATGATATTTCCATGAAATGGATCTTGTTCCATCAAATTAATTGAAGACTTTCAATTTACCTTGCATTTCTCTACGCTCTTTTTTGTGTCGCTTTGACAATACCTCTTCATTCATCTCTTCAGCCATTCTGACGTGATTCAATGATTTTTAAATTCCAACAATTAATTTTTGCTGCCTGTGTAGTAAAGAACGTAAAACGGTAAATGTCTAGTTACGACAGACACATTTTTGGAGTAAATATAATAATAAATATCAATCATCAAGTTGACTTCATGATTATTACCAAAGAGGATTGACTAAAGTAGAGGCTCAGTTCTGGGGGTTCGAGTGACCCAAGGGGCATCGTAGTACTGCACCCCAAGAGAGAGAGGGCACCACACGCAATGGGGGTGTCTGCTCGTTAGCCGACTCAGCGACTCTTCAGTAGCAGTCCCACTGCCACAGGGACCAGTCGAAAGGGAATTCCCACAGAACATTAGAGATCCTCACATAAACAGAACGTAATTCAATGTATCTGATACTCCTATTCCCGTTTCCGAGATCCAATCGAAGTGTTTTTGATGGTTAAGACCAAAATCCACACGCTAAATTCTCATCAATCAATTATTTTTCACTGTCTATTGTATTTTACGTGATTGCACTGTTTTTTTTTTAAGAGAGAATTATTTATTAGGTTCAGAATTTTCGCAATTATCTTATCTCGTCAAATTGAGACTGCCCGCGGTGTTCTGTGCGCATGCACGGTGTGCGTGCGCATGCGCAGAGTATCGCCTGGCGCCCTCCCACTCGAGCGCCGCATCCAATGTCCCGCCATTTTGAGTGGGGAGTCAGTCGTTCGGCGGCAGTGCGTGGAACGGTCGGTCGCGTGTCGCGTAGTGCAATTCCGTTAACATCGGGGTCCTAGTCAGTGCAGAAAACCGGTGCCGCCTGTGAACATTGAAAATACAAAGTGCGGGACTCAGTGCAAGTGATTTTGGGATGTGAAATAATTTTTTAGACAGTTTATCTGAGCATTTTGAGTGATTGAGATTTTTCGTTTATTACACTGAACTTCGGTATTGCCGAACGGCCGCCCGGCGTCATTGTGTTTACAAAAATTCCTTTGTCGGTTTCTCGGAATTGTTTAGTGTGTGTTTAGATACGGACTGAAGTGAGAGTGCGAATTAGATTCGAAGGATTACTTTTCTCATTCATCTTATTTTGAATGGTTAAAAATATTATTTGATCTTTGATATTATTTTATTGATCTTTGTGGATTTTTAGTTGATAAAACATTCTTGGTAGTGTGGTGAGTGATTAGTGAATTTTTGAACTGTCTCGAGTGCTGGTGCATCCAAGGCGACTTGAACCTCGTCGATGGGAGGATTGGCGTCAGGATCACATGAACATCACCAGGAGTTGGAGGGAATCTTTCAAGCCTCTACAAGGTGAGTTTCGTATGCATTTTTTTATGACTTTGAAGCATCATTTTCATCTTATTTTCATGTCATTTTTGTCATTCCTGATTCTTGATATATTCAATGCTTATATTACAAACAATTTTCAATTATTCAATTAACTTTCCAATAAAATAAAAAAATTTAAAATAAAAAATAATAAATAATTTTAAGTAATAATTCAAAATAAAAACTCTCAAATCAAAATTAAAAATCGTCTTTGCAGTAAAAAAATTATTTTGTCGAAATTTCATTAACAATTTGTTTTTTTTTTATGTTTGCAGATAAGGTAGGTCGTTCGAAAGGTGAAAATTGACTTATTTTCATCCAACGCCGGTGAGTGAAATTTATTTATTAATATATCGTATCCGTTCCGTGGATTTTTTCGTGGTCGGTTCGGGGGTTTGAATTTTCGAGATGATTTTATCTCTCGATCAGATGATGTTGAGATGCCAGTAGATATGGCTCCATCATATAAATCGCGAGTGCGTGTATAACCAAGTGATTGATTGTGCTGGAGTGCCGCATTTTGAAATTGGAATTAAAGCTCGGTTGGATTGTCTGGAAAAGATGATTTACTCCAAAATTGGCACTCCTAATTACTCCACCAATTAATCGATTTTTCCGATAATTATTAGCTAGCGCTCTAGTTGTTGACAACCGCTACGGTGCTAGCTAACAATTATTGGAAAAAACGATTAATTTCCGGAGTAACTAGCAGTCCAAATTTCGGAGTAAATTATATTTTCCAGATAATCCATCCGGGCCTTAAATTTACGTTGTATTTTATATCTCCGCCCAAAACGGTAAGTACGATATTAATTTATTATTGAAGTAAATCAAGTAAACATCACTGACAAATTTGTGAAGATATTTTTAATAACTGTTAATTCGTTGAAACACAAATAATTAGCAGTCGGAGGCTTTGAAATCAGCTCGTCAAAAATTCCAGTCAGCTCAGAGTTATTAAAAGGGAAGCTGGAGGGATATTACTGAAAAGTCGCTAAGTCGGCTAACGACAGATACCCCAGCGTTGCGTGTAGCGCCCTCCCTCTTATGGGGTCGGCTACTACGATGCCGCTGGGGTCACTCAAACCCCCAGAACTGAGCTTCTACTTTGGTCAATCCTCTTTCAGCGTACACGTGAATTTCAGAATATAACCTCTTTACAATTCGAGTGATTTGATAACTGATTTTTTTTCAAAATTTTTCAATATAAATTATTTTATTCGCGGTGAAACGGAAATGGTAACTCCAAAAAATACTAAAAATCTGAAAAGACCTGTCTCTACAATTAAAACAGGTCCAGTCAAGGGCTTGAGGAATATTCTGGCTAATCCCCACGAATTCCTATGGTATTTATATATTCCTGTTATTTTTATCATATTTATTAAGTTTAACCATATTACAAAAGATTTAATTTTAATTTTCAGGCCGGTTATGAGAGATGATGAAGGAAAATTGAAAAATATATTGACTGAGTGAGTTAACGTTTTCGTGATTTGATTAAAACATTTAAAAAACATGAAGAAGTTTTGATTCATCAATTTATTTAGTTAAGAATCTGTGATAGGTTTTTAATCGCAATTCTGAGTAGATAGTCATCTTGCTGATAAATAATTTAAAAACTAAAATGCATAAAAAAATATTCTCATTACCAATCATGACCCTGTCAATGAATTAAATTAAATGATAAAAATTGATGAATTAAACTGTTCAGATCATTACCGAATAAAACAGCTCAGCTACGAGAAATATCGTGGGCTCAATTGAGGAAAATGTCGAAAGACGAACGTGCCAATTTGAAAAAAGAGAATAAATTGAAAAAAAAGGACGCGGGCGATAAAATGACGTAAGACTTCTTATTAATTATTTCATTTTGTGAAAATTTTGTCATATTTATTAGGTTAATTTTTTTTACAGCGAAAATATGTGCTTGGGTGTTAACGCAGTTACTCGATCGCTTGAGAAAGATTCATTGATATCTGTTTTAATAGATTCCAACGTAGAACCTCTCATTATGATTAAACACGTGGTTGCAATGTGTCAAAGGAAGAATATACCAGTTATTCTTATTCCATTTTTGAAGACTACTACTTTTCAGAAACTTGGATTCGCCGCCGCAGCTTTAGGATTGAGGGTAAAATCAATCGATTAATATCAACGTGAAAAAACATTTTCAAATTCATTCATTCATTCATTCATAGGATTTATACATAATTGTTTCAGTTTTATATTTGTTGTGAATTACAGAAATTATCTGGTAGTCCTGAAACATGGTTGTTTTATAAATTACATCAGTATATATTGAATTTGGCTCAGCGATTACCGAAACCTAAAAATCCACTGCAATTATTCTATACTGGGGATGATGAAGAACAGGAGGAGGAGGAAATTCAGTTGACAGCTGCAAATCAACGACCACTGATGAGTTTTAAATTATCGACAATTGCTTACCTGCAGAGAAAATCAATAAAGGAACGCGTTTTCACCCCCCCAGAGCCCCAGAAGCCTTTGGAAATTGAGGAAAAATTTTCGGGTGAATTCATATCACTGGCTAATGATGTAAAGATGGAGTACCAGCATGAAAAAGTTATAGAGATACGTAAAAGGAGACGATACATAAATAATCACCAACAAGTAGTGAAAATATCAAAAAAAAATCTCAAGCAAATTGTGGAGAGAGTGGAAAAGCATAACAAGAAAGGAAAAATTGGTAAAACAAATGAGGGACATGCTGAAATTCACAACGTTTATCATCCCCTAAAGGTCAAACGAGTCCACGGGAACCCAAAACGTCTGAAGGCTTCGAAAACTCCGAAAATTAAAAAGAAATCGATTGCTGGGAAAGCGTGAAACTTGTAATTTATTGAATTTCAAGCTTCAATTAGTTTTTCGGTCTCACCTCACCAATAGGAAGTATTTTACTCTTAATTAATATATATTAATTATCAGAGCGACATTGCGTAAAGGCCCTAGCCAGTATTGGATTAGTTTTTTGGCCAAAGGCCTGATGTGGTTGTGTTGAGTATATGTCATATGGGTAATGTGGGATTCTCTGATGACCTAAATAATCTTCTGAAGAATATTAGTCCAGCAGTTCCACCTGGTATGTGACTAACAAGAAATGATAGAAGGGCGATGATTTGCAAGACTGCACACAATACTGTTAAAGGGGTTGATTGCAAATGGAGGGCACAATAGAGAGTTCCACCGAGGGTTGCAAAGTACGATAATGTAAAACATCTTCTCTCAGGGATTAATAGTGATTTCAAATAGCTGATGGCTCCCCACAGGAAACAGAAACTGTAAAATAAAAATGAAGATGTGAAGATTGAAACAGTAATTGTTCTGTTTTGTACAAAAAAACATGGAACAAAAATCGAGACTAGAGAAAAAAATTTTAACAAAATTTTTGCAAATAAAATAATGGAGAGATAATCGTCCCAAGAATATTTTACGATTTTTTTTTATTAAATTCAAGCAATTAATTGCACCGATGAAAATGAGAAATATATACCTTATTAAGAAGAGAACGCTTCCTAGTGAATACAGTAGTGCAAATTTACGCGCCTTTAATAATAAAAGAGGCAAATAAATAGCAGATAAACTAAAGCAGATGATGCTCATGATGATACACATGAAAAATCCAGTAAGACGTTGAAATCGGGTCTGCAAGTAATAGAAATCTTAGTAATTATTAATTTTTTTTTGGATATAGGTTAGGTTAGGTTAAAAACCGAGCTCACCATACTGGGACAATACTCTTTTTGCGTCCATCCACCATTTGATTGATCCTCCTCGCTTGATCTCCCTAACCATTTTCCTATTGGAGGTTTTGGTATCGACACGGATGGAATATGGAATTTATAATGTTTTTCGTTTTTATAGCTCAATAAATATTCACTTAATTCTTTATTGAGGTCCGCCATTTTTGACACATTGGAATATACTCAGGGTGAGTAATGAGGTCCGACCGAGTCTCATCACTCACTCCTGTGGATATTGCTGTCGCTGATTTTCCATTTTTTAATTTATATTTTATGGTTGAACTTGAGATGCATCGATACTTTTTTATTGAAAAATCTAATCACATTAGAACAATAGATAGATAGATTCTCATTCGGTAAAACTACTGCTACTCATAAATTGATAATTCCCTTCCGATGGGGTTTTCTCTTTGTTGTTTTTCTTATAATTTTTATTTCGATTTGAGAAAACGAAAAAAGGTATTCTTATTAGAAAAATACAAACTCTCAAAGGATGCCCAACAAGGTATCAATGTTGTGCTTTCTGGATATGGACTAGTAATCCTCGATCAGGTGATATCTTTCATCATCAGAATCATCGTCATTCGATGACGGCACATCAGGATATATATTGAGTTCTTTTGTATTTTTGCAATCATTCCACACTGTACAAAATGATTCTGCTTCAATTTTCTCCGGATCAGAAATTATTTGAAAGATTTTTTCTTTGCCTCTTTCAAGTCTTAACCAATTATAATCTGAAAGAAATACAGCTGAGTATAATATTGAATGAATTAACGAAAAAATTATGTGCGAAAAGTGTTCCTACGTTTGTGGGCTTTAATAACCTGAACTCTTATTTCCCTTCCTAGATTTTCATTGATCGTCTTTTCAGGTACGATTGCTCCAAAAAAATACAATATCACGTAATACTCTCTCCCATCGTGATACGTACTGAGAAAATTTGAAAAAACAATACAATGGATAAATTAATTATTACATTCATTATGATTGGCATGGGCTCTAACTTATTGATTTTATTAATAAGATGGAACTCACCTGAATTGAATGTGATCAATATCTACTTTAACAAAGTAGTTTTTAACACCAGCCAACAGAATTCGCAGCACCACTTTTACATGATCTTGATGCCATAATATTTTTGGTAAGTTGGCTTGTCTTCTCAGCATTGGTGGATCCATATTATTGAGAAAATTAGATAACTCCTTTGGAAGAACGAGGATTGCAGAAACTGGAGGTTAAGTGGTGTTTTGAAATGATCGCAGAACCGCAAAACTATCCGCCAAATAATTCTCCGTGAACTCAGCGAAATGAACAGCGGGTTTGGAAGCAGTACCAACAAAAAGGATTGACACTATCCCCCCCCCC